TTCCCTGTGCTCGGATCAAGGGTCTGGTAGGAATTTTAGGGGTGGGGTTTCCCCTTAAAATCCCTACCAGACCTAAAGGGCCTGGTATGGATTATGGGGAGAACCCCACATACTTTTTTTTTACTTGGGGGGGGGTTGAGGGTCCCGCCTAACATTACTACGAGACCTAAAGGATCTGGTATCAATTGGGGAGGAACCTCACACTCTTTTTTTTCTCTTCTGCAGACTGTAAAAAAAAAGGTATTTTTTGTATGTGTGTGCGCAGTGTCACTTTGCTGCAATGAAAATTCATACAGACTACCGCTAACGAATTTCGTCCGAAACTTTCGTTTTCGGAAATTCAGATTCGTTTTAATTCGTCATTCAGAGATTCAGATACATCCGAATCTCCAAATAACGAAAATTAGTCTGCATAACGAATCTTTCCGAAACAAATCACACATGTCTAGGGTTTGATAACATTTCAGAGACTTTGTGGAAACAGTTATGGGAAAATACATTTATGCCATGAATGTATATCTGTTTCTTTTTATAACGAAAATGTATTGTACAATATAGGGATAGAAAAGGAGGTATTGTTGTACACAAATGTCAACACTGCTAAACACAAAAAAAACAAAAAGGAAAGCTGGATCATATAATAAAAAATGTTTTCTGCTGCAGCCCAAACTTTTATTATGTTTTGGAAAAACTTCCAACTAGAAGTTGTGTTAGAACATCTGTCAGGGTTTTTGTTCATGTCTATGACCTTGCTGGGGAAATGTCCCTGGGACGGGTAGGTTTCTACCTTCTGATTTACGTTTTGGCTTCAGTATCTTTAACATGAATATTTAAAGAAACTATAATATTGTTTTATTTTAGTTATAGGGGGTCATTTCACAATTCTGTTGCAATGCTACAGGAGACGATAACGATTGTGCTAAAGATATACTACAAGGTGTTAGGGTTTTACTCATAAATTTCTTCTCTAGAGAAGCACTGCGATTGCATTAAAATAAAATATAAAACCACATAGAAATAGGTATCCTCTACTGTGATATATCTGTTACAGCCATGATCAAATCCTTTGCAGTTGGCTGCCCAGGATTCCAGGCACAAGGGTCCCAAGTACACTGTAAACTTGTTGCAGGGACTTTGCTGAAAGAGAATCAGCTTGATTTGCATCTAATTGGGCTGCATATCTCCTTGATAAATATCCCTCATAGTATTTTTAGGAACTGCTGCTCAATTCATGTATGCTAAAAGACAACAAATGTATACATATAACTTATTTTAATAATATTGTACAAAGATGAGTAATCTGCAGCATTTCATTAGGAAACAAAATTCTTAATTTGAACTATTTATTTTTTTAAGCTGATTTCTGCTTGGTTGTGCATTATATCACTTCGTGGCACTTTGCTTACTGTAATGCCTGTGGCGCTGTGATATTAAATTCTCGCATTGGTTAACAGTGCAGAGATTCTCTCTTGCACCCACATCCACAGTCATAGCAAACACACAGCTTCCTGATTAACAATTCCTTGCTCTGCTTTGTTTTGCATAGCACAGGAATAAAAATGTGCCTCAAACCACAGCTTCCAGGAGCTGTGTATAAAGCCAGCTCCCTCTGGAGCAGAGAACGTTTTTTCCCAACGTAAAACATCAGGGCAGGGTAGGGAGATATAAAGACACGAGGGGAGATTGCTGACTGAGGGAAACTGTTTGACAAGAAAATCTTGCTGCGGTCTGGATAAGAAAGACAGGCTTTAGTTAATGCTTTTATGAAATCTGTATTTATTTTTCATAGTATTCAGCATCTTACTCTTAAAAAAAAGAATACATGCAGACCAGATACACAGGCCAGATTGTTCTGTGCATATGCATCCATAATTAATGGATATTCCCTTGTATGTAAAGTTGATTGGCTGTAGCATACATCTTAATTCATAATGCTACATGAAAGGATCTTTTAAATAGATACATGAAAATGTACAGTCTGCTTTGGCCCAGACTAGCTGGTTTATAGCAATATAGTTTTGTTTACTCAATTTGGTTTACAAACTGCATTGATAATAGGAAGCAATGCTCGATGTAAGCCATCTTTGCAAGACATGTCAAGTGTTGAAATTATGTTTGTTGATAGACACAGCCCAGATCTCCATGCTTCTCCTTTATATCACAAACCACCTATACCCAAAAGGCCTCTGATCTCCTTGATTGCTAATTTAAATTTCATATTCTTGGTTTCTGTCCTGAATGTTGTAATATCGTCCTCAATTTACATTTGTCCTCAATTTACATTTAAGACCCTCAGCTAAAGTTACATTTTCCAGTTGTCCTTAGAATTCTCACAAAGACACAGCATTACCATAACGGCCACCTTTATGAAATTACAAAGATGTACACCTTTTAGAACCCACCCCTGCCCCCATTTAATTTATAAAGAATGGTAGGGCCAGAAATTGTTTTTCACCACTCATTTTATTTTACACTGGCTTTTCAAAATACTATAATTAATGATTTGGCTGCCGGAAGATAGGTTTAGTGTTTTATAACACTTTTGCTTGTTAAGAAGCACATTTTATAGCGGTCTGTACATTAGGCCAAAAAGAGGGATCTGAGGATCAAAGGATGACAGAAGGGTTTGGTTCCAAAAAGGGTAACAGTTGGGAGATGTATTTTGCATTGACTCTAAGGGCTTGTTCACAACCAATGCGGAGCAGATGCAGAGCAGTTACAGAACGCATAAAAAATGCATCTAATGCATTCCAATGGTATTTTGAGCTCTAGTTCACACCAGAATGTTCAGCTCCAGAGCATGTGGAAAAACTGCAGCATGCCCTATTTTTCTGCTCTGGAACGCACCAAAACGCATTCAAACGCATAAAAAATGCATGCAAACGCCCTGAATTTGGTGTAAACAAGCCCTAATATTTAAGAGAGCTTTGACATAATTCCTCTTGGGTCCTAAATATAATCTTAAACTATGTCTGGAGAAAAAAAGTGATGTTTCATACTTTGAGCCCAAGATTCTATTTAGAAAAGTATCCATGCTTCGTTTTATTTACAATTGCACCATACAATAGCAGGCAGAAAGTTAAAGAATGTGGTAGCTGCGGTTGTGCGCACAATCTCCCCTTGATCTTCTCTCCGATCCCCCAAATGCAGTGTCACTCTCCGGCAACAGATGCCGGTGAGAAGCTGGTGCAGCAGATATCACACAGGGACCATGGAGAACAAAAGTAGCCGCCCTCCAGAAGGAAGGACAGTGTCAGCATCAACTCAGAGATGATTTGAGGATCTACAGCTGAGCTGATGCACAAATAAGTTACATTTGTGTTAATAGTTCAGCTTCTTGAATGCATTTTAAGGATTTAACTGAGTTTAGTGTCACTTTATTTATTTATCATGGGTATTTATATAGCGACAATTTACAATGCACATTCACGTCAGTTCCTGCCCTCAAGTAGCTTACAATCTAAGGTCCCTATCTTACATGCATACATATGAGGGCCACTTTAGACAGGAGCCAGTTAACCTACCAGCATGTCTTTGGAGTGTGGGAGGAAACTGGTGTACCCAGAGGAAACCCACTCAAGCACAGGGAGAACATGCAAACTCCTTTATTCTATAAACATATGCTTATAGAGGGTGATAATTGTAGTCCAATAACTAGTCACTTTATTGGGTTTTGGTGCAAAAACAGTCATAGGGACCGAAGCTCCCCTGTGTACCCTTCAAGCTAAAGCATAACACAAATCTATTAGCTTTGTGTTGTCAGTCTGCAAATATTTTACTGTGTAGGTTCCCTGAACAAACACCAGTCAATGACAGGTTAATTGATGGTTGCCAGTGTGGTTCTCAGTGTTTAAACAAGTAAAGGTTTTGTTCTGTGAGATGGCAGAAAGGGGAGAATGAGTTCTGCCAAGTCACATTTAGCTGCTACATTGTATATTATCTTGTATTATACTATATTAGGTCTTGCTATATACCCCAAAAACCCCCAACTCTTGCAGACCCTAAGCCCTTCTCTTGTTGTTACTACCAGCCTGATATGAAGTGTGGAAGGCAATGAATACTATTAACCTAAATATTCTATAAGTTTCCACAATTTGGGTGCCACAGGAATCTCTTAAATGACATGGTTAACATGTAAACCCTTTGCACATCTGCTTCTCTGCCCTCCATGGGGTGAATTCCTTACTGCAGTGATTTCTTTTTGGAAGCCTCCCAATGGATTGTTCTTGGTGCTTCTCACTAACAGTCTGTATTCCTAACAAAGCACAATCTGCACCCTTGCCTTTTCATGACTTACGTAATGTTGAATAAATACCAGCTGCTTACATTTGTGCTTTGTAAACATTTTTATATAGTGTTGTTGTGCAATAGGATCTTGGTTAACTTATCTTTAGAAGTGACTATCGAGCCATGAAAGTATTTATTTTACATTATTTAGTTTACCTGAGATCAAGGAGCAGTGAAGAAAAGTCATCGTGTTGTACTATCGAGTAATGAGTGCAGCATGTATATGTAAATATGGAGTGTGGTTCCTACTATGCAATAATTAGCAAATACTATGATACAATATGGAGTAATGTGGAGTTTCATGTAGCCGTACTCTAGCATGGCATTACCATGTCTTTGTATATCCTAGAGTAGTTAATTGCTTCCCTACCATCTGTATAAGATATACAAACCCCATGATAATTTAGTAAGCAATAGAGGTTAAAGGGAACGTTTAATGTTTTGATATATATTTTCTTTAGATATTCCTTATTTTCAGGAGTAAAAAAATAAAAATGTTAAACATATAATTTAAAGGAGAACTATGGGGTTAAGGCTTTTCCCCATAGTTCTCCTTAGTGTAACGGAGGACACAAACTAGCATCCTCCTGTCACCCTTGGCTCAGTATACCGCGAGCTGTAGCTCGCGGTATACTGAGACGCCGCAGCTGAAGCGGATCCCGACAATTATGTCTGGATCCGCCCAGTTGCGTGACTGACAGCTGGCCCAGCCTATCTGTAGGCAGAGCCAGCTGTACCCGCCCCCTCCCCCGTCCGTTCCGCCAGTCAGCGCTGGCGGATCGGAGCAGGGAGGGGGGAATCCAGCCCCTCCCCTGTCACGGCAGAGAGCCGTGACAGGATCGAGAGGTGAGCGAACGCCGGGATGTGTTCGCTCACCTCCCGATCTATTAAGCCGACCTGTGACAGTCTCATTGTCACAGGTCGGCTAGAACTATGAGGTGAGTGAAAAGCACTCACCTCATAGTTCTCCTTTAAGTTTCTTGTTCAAACATGAAATATTGCACATGTGGGCTGACCTGGAGCGAGACTATAGTTTATTGATAAATATTTCAAACTTACATTTGTTACATTACATTAGTGTCAGGGGTACACCCAATATCACTTATTTAAAAAACAATTCTATATAAATAGTGAAAAAGAAAAATAATAAGGATTTAAAACATACTAAAAAGGTAAATAAGGTGGCCCCAAGTGGGGCTATCATGCAACAATGTAAACATTATTATGTGATAACATAGCACAGAGATGGTCCGATTGGCTCCGTGCCTGAAGCCGATGCTCTCTTCTGTCTAATGATAGCAGAAGCAGTAATTTGTGTGCGTGCTTGGCCTGCACACACTGGAGATTGCCGGTTTGCGGACCGGTCGTATATGTAAAGTGGCTGGTTTGCAAATGGTTAATACCTGTTTTCCCCACATTGGCCTATTTGGCCTGTGCGCAGTGTTTAAAGACTTACAAAAGGTAACTTCACATTGGAAGGACACAGAATTATTTACTGCTAATACTTAGTTCAGTTGGTCTGTTGGAGGATCATTATTTGTGATGGTCTATCTTTTTGAAAACTGCATTTAATACACATTTTCTGTTGCTTTTAGAAGAAAAATATGTTACTACACAGCCTTATGCCAGCCAAGGGAAAGATGAGATTGGCTTTGAAAAAGGTGTCACCGTGGAGGTTATCCAAAAGAATCTGGAGGGGTGGTGGTACATAAGGTAAGAGATGAGATTGTTATATATGTGGGAATAACATGTTCCCTCTGTCAAACAATTCTAATATATCTTAGTGTACCTCATGTGTCCACTCACAAGAGACTCCTGGATTTTTTTTGTGCTGACTCAAATTTAGGTTGTCAACATGCTGGTAGTTTGTGAGATCAATGAGACCTAAGCCACTACATGCATAAGCCTCTGTGGTGTCACTATACCATACTGTGTGGATAACATGCATCTGCATAAACATTGCTTGCCAAATGGTTTTCTTTATTGTGTACAAACAAGTACTTGTTCTGTCATCTCCTCATCTCCTGCTCATTCTGACTCCACATACTAGGATTACAACCAGCACACTGGGGCATGTACACGCATATAAAACTTGCTCTCATCTTACTTTACTCACTCGTCTGCTTCTGGGGATATCTCTCCCAATCCTGGCCGTCTGTTTTCTAATACTCACCCTCCAAACCAGCACTGCCTTTCCTCTGGCAGCAGCCGCAATCCACGCACCCTGATTTCTATTCCCCTGCTTCCTAGAGCAAGGCCTCCCTTCTCATGTGCCCTCTGGAATGCTCGCTCAGTCTGTAACAAACTCACCGCTGTGCGTGATCTTCTTATCTCCAATTCCTTTAACATACTTCAACATGCTTGCTGTTACTGCTGTTACTAAAACCTGGCTTCAGGAATCAGACTCTGCTTTCCCTGCTGCCCTCTTGCATGGTGGCCTCCACTGGATGCACTCACCATGACCCAGTGGACGGAAAGGAGGTGGAGTGGGAATCCTTCTATCCCCACAATGCATTTTTCAAGTCCTGCCTTCACCTCTCTCTCTATCCCTCTCCTCTTTTGAAACCCACTTTATTCGCCTATTCTCTCCAATTTTTCTGAGGATAGCTGTTATATACCGGCCGTCTGGACCGGTATCTCGCTTTCTTGATGACTTCTCGGCCTGGCTACCCTACTTTCTCTCCTCAGAAATACCCACTTTCATTCTTAACACCCTATTCTCTATTCTCATTCATTAACACCCCAGCTTCCACTTAAATTCTTAACCTAACCTCTTCTTTTGATCTAACGCAATGGTCAAACACTCCTACTCACTCTGATTGTAACATACTAGATCTTGTGTTCTCTCATCTATGCACTCCCGGCAACCTCTCCAACACCCCTTTTCCCCTCTCAGACCACAACTTTGTCAGTTTCACACTCACCCTGTCCCCAACCCTGAATCCCCCTAAACAGCACACTGTCACCTAGAGAAACCTTCGCCACCTCAACCCTTCTGTTCTCTACTCTGCTTCCGACTACCTCTATGACTAAATCCCACCCCTGTCCTGCCCTGACCTGGCTACTCCTGTCTTCAATAGCTCGATCTCATCCTCCCTAGACACCTTGGCTCCCCTCACTACACGCAGACTTAGGCTTCGTCCACTACAACCGTGGCAAACAAAAAAAAATCAGACATCTAAAAATACATAACCACGCTCTTGAGCGACTGTGGCAGAAAACTAGGTCTCTGCAAGACTTCACCCTGTATAAAGCTTCCCTCCTAAAATACAATTCCTCCCTCTGTGCTTTCAAACAGACTTATTTTGTCACTCTCATTAACACACTCTCATCCAAACCTCGTCAACTCTTTTCCACTTTTAACTCTCTACTATGTTCCCCACTGCCTCCACACACTAACTCGCTCACTGCCCAGGACATTGCCATTCATTTAAAAAAAACAAAATGGATACAATTGGGGATCAGATCTCCACTATCCAGTCACCTTCCCCTATTAACGTACCAGACCCGCCATCACACTTGTTACTTTCCTCTTTTGACCCTGTAACCACAAAGCTTTTCTCTGGTTACAAAGCTTTTCTCTCCTCACCACCTCACCACTTGCTCTCTGGACCCTGTTCCCTCACCACTACTTCGGTCACCCTCTTGCTCTATCCTACACTCATTTACTCACATTTTCAATCTTTCCCTCTCTACTGGCATGTTTCCCTCCCCTCTAAAACATGCCCTGGTCACCCCAATACCCAGAAAACCCTCACTGGACCCTACCAACCTCAACGATCGCAGACCAATCTCCTTACACCCATTCACCTCAAAACTCCTAGAACACCTTATCTACAATCACCTGAGCCACGACTTCACTGATAACAACCTTCTCGACCACTCATAGTCTGTTTTTCGCCCCTCGCGTGTCACTAATCTGCTAACTGACATATTAGTCTGGATGTCACAACACCTCTTAAAACTCAGGGGTCTATTCACGAAGCTGCCGAGGGCAGCCGAGTGAATGACCGATCTGAAGTGAAGTGAGCCGAACACTGTTCGGCTATTCACTTCAGGCTGGTACGGCTAATTTCAGCCGTACATCGGCTGAAATCAGCCGTACATCGGCTTGCTTCGTGTGGCTTCGGGTCGGCCGAACATGCTCAGCATGTTCGGCCGAAAGCAGGCTGTCGGCCGGCCAATGGCCGGCCGCTCGGCCAGCTTCGGCTTTCATGCATATGCGTTCGGCTCGGCTGAGCCGCTCGACCATGATCGGGAGCTGTACGGGCTATTGTGAATACAGTCCTGGGGCCGAAGGATCGGCCGAAGCTGAGCTCATGATATTTCCTCCCATCCTGTTCACCTTGCCACAACTTTTCCCTTGGGATTGATAACATAACTATCCAGCCCTCGTCCATGCCATGGTGCTAGGTGTCATCCTTGACTCAGACTTCACCTTTCTTCCCCACATCCAATCACTATCCAAATCCTGCCGCCCTCACCTTCGTAACATCTCCAAAATACGCCAAATACTTCCTCTCCAATGAAACCATAAAGCTACTCATCCACTCACTTGTTATCTCTCATCTTGACTATTGCTACTCCCTCCTCATTGGCCTACCTCTAGACAGGCTATCCCCCTTCTGTCTATCATGAATGCTGCTGCTAGACTCATCCACCTAACCAACCACTTAGTGTCGGCAACCCCCCTCTATTATTTTTTAAGGAAGGCTTGCAGTTCCTAACATGGGTAAAGTTATATTACATATGTATCTCCAACATTGACAATTTTTGAGTCTGGAAACTTAGAAATGTGTTTTTCTTTTGCCATAGTAAATATTTACAGAGAAAAATTTGTTTTTATTCTTGTATGGGTGAACGAATAGAGATGCACGTTTTCTGGATTTCTCTTTGTCTTGCATAATATAATTTTATCTCCTGCTTTCTTTTACAAGCCCCAAGTGTTCTCGTTCACCAAGTCCTCTTTGCCTGGTTTACAGTTTCTGCTTGTATACATTGTAAATGTTGGCTATTGCACAAGGGATATGGGGATTTTTAGTGAACCAAAATAGAGCAGAAATCTAAAAGGTTTTTCAAGCAAAATACTTATGTTTATAGAACAATGTCACTGTTCAGGGATGAACTTGGCAAACCCAAGAAGATCAGGTCTGTGATTCCCCTACCCTGGTTTGTATATTTAAATATTGTCCAGCACATAAATCCCGGCGTGTGCCACAGCAAAGCGCTTTGTAAACATTAAGTATTTACATTTCAAATACAAGCACCCAGAGTAAGAATTATTATTGTTAGTAATCTGTCCTCCATCACATACCGGGCTCTTTCTCCTGTTTTACAAGAGCCCTACCTAAGATAACTTTAGAAAATACATTGTTTGTATAGAGTCATCCTCACTTCCATGAGTTATTTGTTTCATGCCATGATGTACCTAAAATAAAACATGATTTTCTCTAATGTTTTTGAGTTTATGTAACCGCTGTTATTATTTGCAATGCACATACCATGTTGGAATAAAACCGCTTTAAGTGTGCATTGGCATCAATAAAGAGGACTGTAAATATATATTGTAGAAATCCTTAAAGAATCATATGTGGGGGATAGGTTGTTATTGTACTGTGCATGAAGGTATCTTTGTAAACATGCACAGATGTTAACACACCAGCTGTTGTGCAAACCTTTGTATTCTGGTGCTTGAAATAGATTCCAGTAATAAATACTAGTACATATGATGCCATTTCTGCTCCAATAGCGAAGCGTACAGGGTTATTTTAGACGTTCTAAATTGCTTTATTTATTTCATATTAAGGCAAAGTGTTGACATACTCATACCTTTATTGGAATAGAAGGCCCATAATTGGTTTGATGGTCAACATGGCAAATTAGGACCACAGCATACACATTATACATCCATGTACAATTAGTTTAGTGATTGCTGTGTGCGCATACAACCGTTTGGGCATGTGGGCCTTCAGTGCAAGCATAGCAGTTTATCCTTGCTCTTGTTTATTTGTTTTGGTAAATCAGCTCTCTTGCCTCTGGGACTGCACAGTCATTAATTTCTGAGTGTTACAATCATTTCTAAGCTGGTTTAAGTATCTGATTTATTATCATTCATTGTGCTGCAAAGTGGGAAGCCTATTTTATACATATGTCTGGGCAGCACTGGCTCTGTATCTGACTGACTCTTACGTGTCAGCCATATTTCTCTCACAGGTGATTCTTAAAATTGAGCTTCGGGCAAGCTGCTTTCATTATTTTATACATGGCTGAAGCTTTGCTTTTACATTCACCGACGTGTAATAGCACACCAACATAGCTGGTCGGACAGAATATTGTCGGGTTTTGCCCCCAGTATTCTCTTGGCTGATGCTGCTTAGTAGTCTGTAAATAGCTGACCTATATGCTAGTCCTTGTAATACCTAGCCCAACCACTCTCAAAAGTTAGCACAATGAAATCTTGCAGACAGTACACTGTGGATAAAACTTCCAGATGTTCTTTGCTACTTGGGGGGGGGGGTGGGGGGGCAGCTTTCTGCATCCAGAAATATGACATTTATTTTTCTAGTAGTTTGTTTTATGTTAATATGTATGTGTTTTATAATAGCATAGTAATGTAGTGCTCCAAAATATCTGTATTTGTTGAACTGAAATGTTGTATTTTCTACTGCCGGTGAACACAGCCTTGGCACCCCAGCTGTTTTAAAAATACAAATCATATCATGCCTCTTCCTCTGGGAATCATGTCTGTGGCTGTCGGTCTTTCAATGCCTCATGGGACTTGTTGTTGCTCAACACCCGGAGTGCTGTGGCCCCTGATCTACTGGTTAATGTTAAAATGTACACTTTTGAAAAGTGTTAAAATGCATAAACTATAACTATATTCTATTCTGTTATTTTTATTATTATTTCAGCAGAATGCAGTTATCCACCTAAAATTCTTTAACACTTTCCACCTTAAATGTGCACCATGCTGACATTCTTACACATGTGTTGATCTTAACTTCCTGTTTCTTTTTCCTCTGCATTCCTCTGGAGTAATTCCCAAGCAGGAGAGCAGATGTTTGGAGCTGGGTCTGTCAGAACTTCAGGCTCTTGTGATGTCTGGTCATTCCTTAGATTTGTAAAAGAACCATACAGACTTAATGCAAAGCCATAGCTAGCACCAGACTGTTACTGAAAATAAACCTTTGCAGTTAAAGTATTCCAGTACTTATCTTTTATAAGACAGTTCAGCAACTCTACTGAAGAGAATATTGATACCGTCACCCCCGTTTTTATAATCTGCTGTTTGCGCTTATTGGGACTAAGGTTTTTGGCAATGTGCAGTTGTTATTTTACATTCCTGTTCTTCCAAACTGCAGTTTGAAAATCTATACAAGGAAGTGCTTATAGGACCGATCAGACTGTGACTCCGTCTTTCTTCAGGAGGGGTTTGGTCACATAGACATCAATAGGGAATTTTCCAACGTTTGAGTTAGTAGGTGTAGACTATTGGTCCCAGGAGTGTTCCAGCCTTTTAAAAAAACATGGATAAGGATATGAATGTAATTTAATCTCTTCATGCTCTGCCAACAATCTTTTCTGGTTTTGCCCTTCCAAAAAGAAATTTGTTTTAGGAGCCCCCAGATATATAAAAATGTGCACAAATTCTATCCTAAAATATTCCGTTGATAGATGAAACAGTATTTTCTGTAATCCAGGTACCTAGGCAAAGAGGGTTGGGCTCCTGCATCCTACCTGAAAAAGGCTAAAGATGACCTGCAGTGCCGAAAGAAGAACTTGGCAGGTCCTGTGGAGATTATTGGAAATATAATGGAAATCAGCAACCTCCTTAAGAAACCCAATGAAAAGGATGGTCAGGGGGGTACTGAAGCAGAAGAGCATCACATTAACAAGAAAGAGATCAGTCTGCCAATCCTTTGCAATGACTCCAATGGAAACTCCATGATGACATCTGAAAAAATCAACATCAAGACTACTCCGGGGTCTCCAGCCATAGCAAGAATTGCACCTCAGCGATCTGAAATAAGTAAGCAAAAGAAAAAACATGTATATGCTTGCAAAAAATTAATGCATTTTGAAGGGTTGCATCTTTATTATCTTAAGTTACCCAACAAAGTTACCTGGCTGTCATGATGGCCCTCTAGCTTCAGTATTTAAAGTGAACCTGTTGCCAGACTATGGACATCCAAATAATAACAAAATCTTAACAAGCAGTAAATTAGCTATAAAATAAGCCCTCTTTGAATTCAGCTGCAGGCATTGTGGAGCAATTCATCATCAAGGTTCACAGAAGAAGCACTTAAAGCCCATTTCCACCTTTGTCGAGGTATTTTAAAAAAAAGCATATGCCAACAATGTACACCGAGTCTACATGAAGCAGACATATGGAGCTGATGTATATGAACACATAAACTTACATTTTTATAGCTTTCCCCTTCATATCCGCATGGAAATTTCTGCCTCTGTGCTGTGCAAGAAATGTGTGTATATCTCCCCGCCCCCTTGACAGTGTATGGTGTGCAAAGGCAGAGCTAGTGTTTACAGATCATGTTACAATGGGTGACAGGAAGGGGGGCACAGCCTGGCCACAGTTTACCTTTAAGTCCAATTGGTATCTGTTTACAATAAAGTTATTCAAATAACCATATATTAGCTCTACATGTAATTATATCTTTCCAGATAGCCAAAAGTGAAATAAAATTGGGCATACAGTGACATGTGCTCTCTGTGGCTCTTATGCCCATTTTTATTGCCCTGTCTGGTCAGTATTCAGTCATATATTGTATGGCAAGAGGCGTAAAAGTGAAGCTAAATTAAATGCAGGAGTTATATCTTAAAATGCATTCAAGAACCTTGACTATTAACAGAAATGTAGGTTATTTGTGCATCACTTGGCTGTAGATCCTCAAATCATCTCTGAATTGGTGCTGACACTGTCCTTCCTTCTGGAGTGTGGCTACTTTTGTTCCCCATGGTCCCTGTGTGTGTTGTTAAGTAGCCACTGCACCCAGCCCACTTCCGTGATGGACTATAATCTCAATGCAAAATAGTAAACTAAACATGAGATTGTAGTCCATCACGGGAGTAAGCTTGGAGTGGTGGCCACTTTACAACACACACAGGGACCATGGGGAACAAAAGTAGCCACACTCCAGAAGGAAGGACAGTGTCAGCACCAATTCAGAGACAATATGATGATCTACAGCTGAGTGATACACAAATAAGATACATTTTTGTTAATAATTAAGTTACTTGTATATATTTTTTTAATTTTCCTTGTCAGTTTAGTGTCACTTTAACTGTGTACTATACACATGACTGCCTTCAGGCTGTGCCTGATCTCTCTTTGTTTCACCTGTATTTATTGTTTGATTTTGTTTCTTGACTCACTCTCTGCTTGCCTGAGGACGGGGCCGCATGGTCTTGAAACGTCGCTAAGGAGATGTGTGTTATCTCAGTCAATAAACAGCACTGACTTTAATATGATGGAGTGCGAGTGGCTACTTTCATCTATCTTCATTGATCTCTCTTAATGACTGCTCTGCATAACTACTTTTAGTTTAATCTTGCACACTATTTCAACACCAAATAGTTGGAATTAATTTCATTATGTATGTTTTTTGCAGGTTCTCCAAACCTAAGAATGAAGCCACCACCTCGGAGAGAATCTAGTTTGGTTGGTTATCCTTCTGTTATCTTTAGTGCGGTTTAAGATTATTTTCCTGAGTAACAATTTTAACTGGGATTGACATTTGAATATGTAATTTAAATCATTCAAAGGCTTGTTATAGATCTTAGAGTAAGGGATATGGCTGCAATGGACTGTCAGCTGTAGTAAGAGAAAAAGCTTATAAAAACACAAAAAGTTGTTTGTTGCTTAGTAAGTCTGGAAACGATTCCATGAAATTAAGTATTCTAGTAAGAAACACAAAAGAGTTCAATATGGTAATAAGAAAACTCCTAATTTCTAGATTATTTGTGCATGTTATTTCACAATAGGTAACATTTATACAACTAACATGAGGTAAGTGCTGTACATTAACATTTTCACTCCCTCTTCTTGCTAATAACTGTCAAACATTAAATTAAGGTGGTAGGGCTCTTAAAGAGGAACTTTACCCATATCTTTAAAATAACAACAAAGGCACCTTTAGGAATGTTTAGTAATGGTGGGGTGTGGCTAACCCATGAGTGAGTGAGGATGTGTGTGCTTTGAGCTCCTGCACCTGCTACATCCACATCAACTAGCCAGTGCCTTGTAGATCCTGTAGCTGCCTTGGTCGGACTAATCAGCGGTCGTCTTGGAGTCTCTGTACCCGCTCTACTAGCATCAGCCTGCTATCAATTTTATTTATCTTTTTTCCTTGGACTGCCTGCTCCGCTCGCACTGGTCCGCTGACATACCAGCAGAATGAAAAAGAGCAGTAAAAAGAAAAAAAACGGGGAGATAATTCAACCCTCCCAGTCGGCGACTAGAACAAACATCGGAACATATTTCAACAAACAGGGAGCAGAGGAGTCAGCATGCACGCCGCAAAAACAGCCCGAGGTCGGTGAGGATGGGAGAGTGATTTCACCTGCCAGTGTCTCTCCGTTAAGCAGTGAGACTGGGCAGACGGGCTGTGATGGATTATCAGAATCAGGCAGTGAAGTTATGGAGATGGAACTGCATGGTGCTATGGGGAAATACCTCTCTCAACTTCCCACTAAGAAAGATATTGAAACAATGCTTCAACGCATAGAAGAATTACATAAGAGGGAAATGAGAGAGATCCGGATTAGCTTTCAGAAATT